TATTGTATTTAAAAAAAGCCCTGTGCGCATTCTGCTGTTGTTATTTTCCTAACAATAATGCATAAGTATCGCTACTAATGACTCCTGTGCACATACATACACATTACGATACTAAGCCGGGCATGTAAGCCAGACATCAAAATGGCGAAAACTAGGGGCAGTAACTATTAAAGCGGCCTAACAACAGCCTTCGCAGGCAGTAGTTTGCAAACCGTAGCCGCGCCCACAATAGGCTATCGATCGGCCTACGCGCGAGCTAACACTTCGAGCTAAACAATCAATCGATAATTTGAATTTCTAGCTACATTCACTCACTGAGCCAAGCGCCAATGGGACGGGCCACTACCTCAGGAGAGAATCTTATTGGCTCAAGGGACATCGTTAACATACGTTTTTTTCCCTAAATTTGTTGTACATAGAACACTCAAAGACTTCCGCTTCTGCTCATATGAGGCGTAACTAGACGGCGAATATTTGGCCTGGGCATTCGTTACAACAATTTGGCGACGCATTGCGCGGTAATATCTCGGCGTGGGCCTCCGTTATAACAATAACTTCCTGCACCGTTATTCTAAATTGACTGGGTTTTCGCTTTTTAGGACTGAACAGTGAGGAATTGTCCATGTGTTTCCAGCTGCTTGAAGACGGCATAGACCCGACGGGCCTGGCGTTGGCTATCCGGAAGCTGCGGGAGAGTGTAGAGGCTGATGAGGAAACCCGTCAAAAACACCGACCCCCGTTTTGAATACCTATCCGCTCAAGCCACATCACAATACTCCAACCTCTGGAGTAGTTCGGTACGGGAAAAACCGCAATACCTGTGCGCGACTTTCTCAATAATGTGTGCTGTGTCCTTACTTGTAAATACACTTTTGATTCCGTAGAAATATTGTGAAAAGGATGAACGCGGTCGGGCACCTCGCGAATTGACTCTGTTGTCAAGATCCTAGTTTTTATGTAATTACCTGGCATATTTATTAAACAAGAATTTATTAATCGACACTAATTTTTTTCACTATGATCTCCAAGTCTAGAATGTCTCACAAGTCACATACTACCCGAGTGCATGCATCAGCTATTCCTGTGCATACACTCAATCTTGGCAAGGACTACCTCCTAACCGCTCAAACAGGTATTTGTGTCTGACTCAACAGTAAGCCACTCATCAGACGATTACGGACGACAGCACACAGGTAATAGCCGTGGAGCCGCCGAAGGATTTCTTCTGCCATGAAGCCAAATGTGAAATGACTATATACACGGGGTTTACAGTATTGATGTCGCTGCAACTTTCTGCGATGCGGCAGTTCACTTGACCGAGAGGTATTTGCCGAGGACTAGGGCGTGCCCATGAGCGTCGAGATGACCGAACGGGCTCGGGCCGCTTTCTCCAATGCAGGCCAGAACACCGCCTAACTTAGTGTTAAGTGACTTTGCGCGGGTACTACTTCACTATATACCCCCACTTACCTTTAGTAGGTGTCAAGACAGACTCACTGAAACCAAGTTTGGTGCTGATGCTAGTATTTATTCTACTACTAACTAGGAGTGTCGCTGAGTGTTAGTAATACGGGTACTATTTCTGACGTTAGCATTTGTCAGAGGTGTCGCTGATTAAAGTCAACGCTGGAGCTCCTACCTCTTTGATTTAAACAAGGAATGGGAATCTGGGTTTAAGCTATTCCGAGTACATGTTTGAGGCCCGGGCCTGTCTTGGTTTCCGTCCTCTCACCTCTGTCCATCAAAAGCTACCACATTTTACTAAGTTTGGACTATGATACTGCTGCAAGAGGGTGCATGAAATAAAGTCATATTTAACATGATTATGGGAAAAGGTAAATCACCTACTTCGAGGCGAAGCTTGGGAGATTTAAATACGATGTTTTATTTACTTAAATGCTTGCGGGAAGCTGGCCAAACAGTTGATGAAAATTGACAGAGAGAGAGACTGACTAGGATTTAAGCCTAGAAGATACCTCTTAGCGGTCCTAGATAGTTGGCGACCATACCCAACCCCCCTAGACAAATTCAAAAAGAATGTAATGCCAGATCGTTTGTGAATGAATAAAGACAGAGAGGGAGAGAATATATTGGAGAGGACAGATGAAGAGGTTATTGGGGTAGAAAACAGCCAAGAAGGGGGTGAGGGCAGCAAAAAAGAGAGAAGAAACTAAACCGCTCTCAATGTGCTCTGTGCACATGGTCCGCCTAACTCAGCGAGTCTGCGATGGCCTGGCTTATCTCAGGCACGGAGGAACGGACAAGAATTTGGAGATTCACGCCAGACGCGGTTTCCGGTTGAACTGACTTGGCCAACCTGCACCGTGAGAGGACGGGAATGCCACCGCGGAAAACTCCGGAGAGTAGGAGGGTGTGTGAAGGTTTCGCTTCGGCCGGGAGCTGGTCGGAGCGCTCACAAGGTTGCATACCCAAATGGTTCAGAAGTTCAGATACCATCTCTGTTGCAGGAGGGGTAATAAATGGAAAAAAACGAACGGTAGATAATAAGAAGCGTTCGTTTGGACAGAAAACCTCATCAGTCAAAAGTGCCATTGGACGGCTGGGTCGACAAGTAGGACCCAAACCATCAACATTCTCTTAAAGAAATTTACGCGGTCTGCTATAATGTCAAAACCAGTCATAGTATGTATTGCATGTGAGCGCATTGAAGCTTCATTCTTCAGAAATTAGTGCAAGTCTACATCATTACATTTTCTGAATGAACATTTGAAAACAACCTATAGGGTCACCCAAGTCGAATCCCGGGGCCAAATTCGGACTTATTTTATTGGCTTTGTCCCTCCTATAATTTATTACCCTTCAACATAACTCCCATTGCGTTAGAAAAAACTAACACTCCGTTAGTGTGTGCGTCTCCGTAAAAAAGTACTGGGTACAAGTGACACTAGTACTGCATCACTTTAAATTCCCTAGAAATGAATTGTCTTCCGTCACATTCACCGCGGATTTTCTGCTTATCGTGCACGCAAATTTGTTCTGAGTTATAGCGATCGTCTCGACAACGGTTCTTACCGACAACACATTTAACCACCACGAATGAGCCATCGTGACGGTTTTACCACGACACAACTAACCGGGGACCGTGAACAACAAACCTTTTGCTTCACGCGCACATATCATACCGATTCTTAATCGTTTCTGAGTTTGGTGGTCTTCAACACCACCGTAGCCGGAGAGCAGAACACTAAGATCGAGCTGGTCTGTGCACTTGCGTTGTGGTAAAATACAGTAGTCGCCGGCTATTAAGTCCACCTCCGGCCCAGACCAAATTGAGCTTAATTAGCGGCGGGCTTATTAGCCGTGGGCTTAATAGCCGGCGACTACTGTAATTGTTGATCACTATGGTGCAATCGGTAGATAATCAAGAAACAAGCAGTTGGCATTATGCATAACAAAGGTAAGACTTCAATTAAACAGGCTTTCGCCGTAGATGCCACATACCCTAGCGTGGTTGTGACTGACAGGAGAACTAGGAACATTTGTCGCGGAGTTAAACGTGCATATGCGGTCGTTATTATGTAAAAGAAGGCGTTGCTTGGAGTAAGTAATAAAAGTCCCTTTGGGGTCTGCCTCAAAGGATTTCCAATGAAATGATTTTGAAAATAAACTCTATCTGGTAAATGCCCAAGAAAACTCAACGCATAACTCACCCTTAATTGTTGGGAATTTGGTGAGGAAATAGGTCTCTTCAACCTCGGAGTCCGCATCAAATTCCTGCCAGGCTGCAGCGAAGTTACTCTTCAGCACCCGTTGAATGTGGTCAGCCACAGATATCGTTAAATCCTCCAGCTATAATAAAGATACATCAGATAAAAAACTGGACCAAAAGGACAAAAATGATCAAAAAGAGAGAGCAAATGTAGGCGGTTTAAAATCGAATATCAAGAAATGGGTCGTCAGGCACCGTCCTCCCAAAGTAGGGAATCATACAAGGGAGCCGATTGCATGCATTAATAATAGGCATATCGATCTCCCAGATGCCTATTTCGCGTGTGGCAGTTGTCTCAATGTCCCGCCAAGTTTTGGCCTAGTGGCTGCTGTAG